TGCTCGCTGCTCGCTGCTCGATGCTCGCTGCTCGCTGCTCGATGCTCGCTGCTCGCTGCTCGATGCTCGCTCTTTGCTGCTTGATGCTCGCTCCTCGCTGCTCGATGCTCGCTGCTCGCTCTTCGCTGCTCGCTCTTCGCTGCTCGATGCTCGCTGCTCGATGCTCGCTGCTCGATGCTCGCTGCTCGCTCCTCGCTCACATTCGAAGTTTCATTTTTCGCTGTAGAAAGTTTTCTTCCCACACAGAGTGAACAGTGGATTTTTACAGAATCAAACTCAAAGTAATGTGATTACTTCCAAGCATTAAACGCTGCACGGTCGTACTCTCTCTGCTCTCCATATTATCCAATGTTGATCTGACACGTCTGTTGTTGCCGCGGACGTCGCACGCTCATACGTCGTTGTCATGAGACGCTCTCACAAACAAAACCACGGTTTAGTAACGCAGTAACAGTAACAGTAACACAGTGTGCTTATGGGAAAGTAACAGTAATCTCATTACTTTTGGGTAACTTAAAGGTGCATCTGAGAAAATGAAAGTTATAAATAGTGATCTGTGTTCATAACGTACAGTTTGGAGTCTCTGCTGCTCCCCAGTTGTTGTGGTTCCAGTTTCAAAGATGTTGCTGTAGTGGTAATGTAACTGTAACTTGACTGTAAAGATCACCAAGAGTACGAAATGTCACAAAGGGAAGCATGTGATTCTGTTATATACAGCCAGCTCTTTATTCCTCATGTAGGCATTTTAGCCGTATTTAACTTCATGTGTGACCCTGTTACCATGTTTTTGTATATGTGTTACTTTTTTATTTCAATCTATTTGATCAAAGATGATTGAGCACCACACAGGTGTACTTCTAGCTCGTGTTATTGTCCTTCATGCTAAATCCTTGAAAGTGTATGTAATTAAAAGCCTTTTAAAAAACTGCTAAAAATTTTTAATTAAATGCATCAAATTCACGTGTTTACGATCCCAGAAAGTGGATTTTGTTAACCAGACCTGTGTTTGTTGGATGTTGTTAGTGAACAGTGTTATGTGTTGTGTTATCTCCAGGTCACAGTGAATGGTGTGGACTACCAACCCCAGACAGCCAGTCCCAATAAGAAGCACGCCAAGGCCATGGCAGCCACAGTTGCCCTGCAGGCTCTGGGAGAGGTAACCCACAGCTCTTTGGCTGTCGCAGTCACAGCTCTGACAGTCAAGTCACTTTTAATATAAGTCACCCTGCGAGTGTGTAACTACGAAGAAAAGAGTGTGTCCGGTGTAACGGATGTCTCAGTGAGAGCCGTCAGTCTACACTGGCTGCTGCAATAACTCAACATTCACTCTGGCTGAAATGTGGAGAACAAAAATGACACAATTCAAAGAATCTAATGCTTATCTAGTTATGACTAACTACATAAATAAATGTAGCATTTATTTATGTAGTTCGTTATAAGTCTGTGTGCTGTGATCCTGAAATGATAGAGAAGCTTTATGTCAACGTGCAGCTTCAGCCTCACAGAGCAGTGATAGTGTGGAGTTGAAGGCCACGTCTTCTGAATGGTAAATGGCCTGTATTTGTATAGCGCTTTTACTAGTCC